GTTTCTTTCAGTTAATCACACACAGACTTGCAGGCCAAGAGTGGACTTGGTGCTTTCAATGTGTTAAGTTGCTTGAGTTTCCCACCCTGAGTGACCCTTCTCATAACATTGTGTGAGTGGACCAAAGTGACAATGAGCATCTCCGGTGGTTGCAGTGTTCCAGCCTGCTGTTTTCTTTTCAGAATTATCAGGAGGTTTGCAGGAAGTAACCTTACATGTACATTTTGTTAAACAAAGCCAACTAATCTCTCAAGTAAGATGTTTTGTTCTAAACCCAGTGATGGAGCAGCTGTGTATGAAGTGACCATGACTGAACTCGTCTTACCACCAGCTAAATAATTCAATAATTGCTTTCTGCATTTTTTTTTAATTGGCCAAGGTGACTGCTGGAGGCTCATTGACCTCCCCTGTAGATGCACAGTGAGAGGAGTGGTCTGAAGAATGCTGAAATGTTTGTTTTTCTAACAAAATTCTCAAGTATTTTTTAGAATGGGTGGAAAAACACAACATTTAGGCTTTCTGCAGGAATCTTAGTCAGAGTAACCCTCATTCCAGTAATTCTGTATTAATTCCTGAATTACTCTAAACACTATCTACATCATTTATAATATATATATATATAAGGAGAGAGAGAGGTTAATAAAATTAATGGGACAATGTTTTGAATTTTCTTTACTGCTAAAGTAGAACATTTATAGAGAGGTTTTTCATAAGAGTTTGTTGTACAAAGTGGAACTACAGGATTTGTGTAACATTTCAGTTGACACTTACCAATGTATTTACTGTTGTGGAAACTATTTAAGCCAACTTCTTTTTACTCTTTAACCTTAAACCTAAAATGTGCCTAATAAGGAGAATCCCCTGCTCTTGAGCTGTGCACTGTGTTTATGCTGACAGGCTCTGTCCCTCTTAGAAGGTGCTTCTTGTGACAACTCCTCATGCCTAGAAATCACAGCCTTGTTTTCCTGGGCAGCTGAGCTTAGAGGAATAGTTAGGATCAATATTAATTTTTTCCACTCAAACCATTTTGTGAATAGGCAGGGCAGTAACTGAACAGAGAGTTCCTAGCTGTGTTGTCATGGAAAAATAGTTGGACCCAATTCCATCCATCCATCCATCCATTCATCCATCAAAACCTAGGCTAGATGAAAGGAAATATATTAACCCTCAAATAGTGTCTTTAGAGTTTATAAAACACTGGCTGGCTAAGTGTTAGTTGTGAGTGTGTGTGTTTTTATTTAGTTATTAATGTTACAGGATTTTTCTGATATGTTTTTTGTTAAAGACTTGTCTTTAAGCTGGCAGCAAATTCCTGATGTGCTGTGCAGAAGGAGATGCAGGGCCTGGGTCTGAGCTGTCACAGGGCAGCATTTTGCTGGATTCTGAGGTTCTTTAGCTGTCATATTCCATTAAAGCAGCTTATTTTCACCCCCTTTCCAAATACATGCTCAGGTATTAAACTGTTTTCCAATGGACATTGGCCTTTTCTGTGGATATACTGACAATGCTGCTTCATGCTTGTAGAAAAGAACCTCACCAAGATCTCACTGGTACCTTTTAGAGCAGGCTTTTGTTGAAAGAATAAAAATTCTGCACTTGTTGGGAGTCTGCTAAAAGCTGGACATTTAATTTTTAAGGCTGTGCCTCCAGGTTAGATGTATTTTAAAGAGTAACTATCAAATGTTAGGAGGGGTAGTGTGGTTTTCTCAAACACAAGGAACCCAACCTTCTGTTATGTGCAAGAAGACAATTCCACCTCACCTCTGACTACAGACCAATCATGTAGCAGATTATTTTTTTATTAATCTTTTGCTAATGGGAGAAACTGTGGTGCACTAATTGCCTGAGCAGGCCATGATTTTGGTTCATTGTTTGCCTCCCAAGGCCAGTGCTGGGATGCAGCAGTAACTGGTGCTGCTGGTGTGGACCCAGCTGCCTCACCAGTGTTCCCAGTTCTCTCCTGATCTCGTGCTGCAGCCAGCAACATCTATGCAAACGATTTCTCTCTGCCCTGGCTCGTCAGAGATCAATTATTTTTTCCTAGAATAACAGATAGTTAAAAAATATTACTATAACAAAGAGTAAAAATCTTCAAATCCATGGGCATTGTGGAGAAATTTACAGCATTTTCTGAAGAAGACATTCAGAATGTATGTAACAATATTTTCATTATGATTATTATTATATTACTTCGACTTTATGTTGTGACAGGTATCCCTTGTCCTAGTAGTTGCTTGTTCAACATCATAATCTCCCCAGGGGGACTCAGTCATATTTTTTTCCCTTGAGTATTTGTTATTTTCTTTTGGCTGAGACAAGATTTAAGTATTGTGGTAGGGTAGTTCTGTGTCTTGTTTTTATTTAACAAATTACAAATATGTTGTGATGCTGATCTCACCCAGTCTGAAGACTTAAAATCTTGTAGGCTAGAAAAAGTGAAAGAAATACCCCTCAGAAATCATTGAAACCATCCAGCTACATGTCTTTCAGCTGTTTTATATATTTATCTGTAAAAGATTGGTATTAATGGGAAAAGTTATCAATTTTTTTTAATCATTTAAATGTTTATCGTCTTGTATGTTGTCTGCTTTCTAAATTAAACTGTGTTTTGTGGGTCTCTGGGGGGTCATGCCTGGCTGAGGTGTTTGCCCCAGGGGTGTGGAGGGGATGTTTGGAGCCATGGAGGCACCTTGGGGACCTGCAGGGGGACAGAGCCCTCTGGGACCCTCTGCATCCCTTTGCTTTGGCATTCCCAGCGTGTTGGGGTTCATGGTTTGGTTTGGTTTTTTTCCTTTCTTTTATTTCCACTCACTTTGTACTTTTTTTCTTTTATTAAATCTCACATGTATTTTGAGTTTTTGTGGTGTCATTTATTTAGTGGTGCATTTTCTGTGCAATGTAGTTATTTTCTGTATTATCTGTCACAACAATAATGTGTTACGATTGCAAGCTCACCAGTCACAGGCTGCCTTTGTGACTATTTGGGACACTCAAGAATATAATTAGCTAATTAATTAACAACTAGCTAATCATAGAGTATGTGGAAATGTACTTCCTATGTAATCTGGGGAGGAATTCTTAGGCATTAGTCCAAAAGCTATCAGTGTTTGGGCAGAAGGAGCTCTGAGGATTGTTGGTCCATCTCCTTTGTGAGATCTGGTGGCTGAGCAGGGATGTCCCAGCAGCTTTGCTGATTTCATAGTGCCCAAAGAGGTGATGAAAAGGAGGGGTAAAAAGGGAGCAGAGGTGGAGAGGTTTCCTGGGGTGCATCCAGAGCTGTTCCTTGTCTGGAGAGGGGCATTATACCCTTAGGTCAAGGCCAGCAAAAGAGCACAGCTTCAGTTTGGTGCTCTGCTTTCAGAAAGATGTTCAAGCTTTTCCCAAAGGTTTGTTCTCAGTGTCTGTTCTGGACCATTGCTACATACCAGCTTATATTCACTCAACTTTGGGCCCTTCTGGGGTTTATTTGGTATTGTGCTGAGATCAGTGCTGCACTGCAGACACTGCCAGTGTGGGGTTTGGCTGATGCACAGTGTTTGCTGTAGCTGTGCTGATGGTGGGAGGTTTCTCTGCAGCCCCAGCTTGAAGAACAAACCCAGGCTGGTGTTCCTGGCTGCCTCTCCAAGCTTTTTAGGAATATGTATCTGGAAACCTTTTAAGCAAAAACTTCAGTAAGGAATTACCAATTGATACCAAGTGGTTTGTATGAAGTGTTTACATCCTTTTCCATCCCAATACATTTTAAAGCCAAATCTGGGAGACCAGATCGGAGCACATGCATTCAGAATTCAGGGAACCAAAGGCGGTGGAGCAGCTGGTGCTTTTAAAGGTGGGCCGTGTGGTGATTCAGATGATGTGCATTGGCAAGAGTCTTTCCAGAGGAGCAGTGTTAAGAGTATTCATTAATACTTGTGCAAAGCTCCTAGAGATGCTTTGAGGAGGAGGAGAAGTGCACAGGTTTGTTAGAGAAGCAGCTCAGCAGAGAGGTGGGTGCTGCCCATGCTTTGCAGTTCCCAAGCCCAAGCCTGGTGGCCAAGGCCATGGGACATGGCATGATGGCACTTTCCTTCAGGAGACAGCCCCACAAACCCAGCCTTGTCCTTGGCTGTTCCCTCTGGAGAACTCTGCAGCTGTGAGGGACCCTGCAAAGCCACTGCTCCATCTGTGTGGGTGGTTGGCTGCTCTTGGGGGTCTCCATCACCTGGGATTTCTCCTGCTCCACCAGCAGTCCTTTCTCCTGTTCCATCACCAGGTCTTTTCATTAAAATTTTAAATCAGTCCTTTTATTACCAGTTCCAAACAGACGTTGGCAGCTGTGAGAGCTTCTCCAAGTTGCAGTGGGTTAAACTCAAATGTCTGTACAATAGATTGGTGCTTTGACCTTTCATGCTGTCTTTACTTAATGTAAATAACTGAAACTTAAACACTGATTTTCTTTTGTTCTTTCTATAGCTTCTTTAGTCTTCCCAGTGCGTACTCCATAACAACAGGAAGATATGTTAATTAGAAGATTTATTAAGGCCAAAACATCTCATGCAGAAGAAATTAATTGGTGCTTACACCTTTAAGCTTGCAATATGTTGCACAGAAGAGAATATGTAGCAAGGACTAAAATTCACCGTGTCTTTTGATGGGGAAAAGTTTGCTTAATCAGGTTTCTTGGTAAAGTTGAAATCCAAGATACTTGCAAAAGGTAAACTGCTAATTCACGCTGCTGCACGGCTGGCACTAAACCCAGAATGCTTCTTTTGGGGCTCAGCCCGAGGGAGTTAACACTGACTGACTCCAGAGAGGTGAGGGACAGAGCTGGGTTAGTGTGAGGAGCTTCCAGCTTTGCTGCTCGAGCTGCTGCAGTAACAGGGTCCTGCAGGTCCTCTCCTCACTCTGGTTTTGGGGTGTAACTGGGGAACCCGATGTCCCTAACCTGACATCCCTAATCTTTCAGCTGGATGCTCACTTTTCATAACAATAGCTCTTCTGTGCAGCTTGCTTCTGTATACTTACAGGTTTTATAACCAAAATGCCCCAACCTTCATCTCTTTGGTTTTCTGAGGGCTGCACTTGGTGCCTTACACCATAACCCCTTCCCCAGAGCTCCCTGCCCACCTCCCCTCTGCTGCTTTGGGCCAGGTGACCCTGCCTGGCCAGTCTGGGCTCTGCTCATCCTGCTGGGGTGTGATGGGTGCTAAGGGAGCCATGTTAAAGCACAACTAAATGTTATTTATTAATGGAGAAGAAATGGTTTAAAGCTGGAGACTCAGTGTTCCTGGTGTAAGTTCTGTGTTTGTAACAGACTGACTTCCCCTTACACAAACACTTTTCTTTAAGAAAAGGAAAGGGGAAAAACAAAGTGTGATGTCTGTGCCCCAGTAACTTCACACAGGAACAGGGAGAGGCCCCAGTTTATCTTTGTTTTAAACAACCTTGTAAATGAATCTCAGGAATGACCTGTACCAAAGCTGGGTTTAATAAAAACAAAACTGACTTGTTTAACAAACATCTGTTAAAACCATGGTTTGTGCACCAAGTATAACCAGAACAATGTCCTGTGTCCCTCTGTGATCCCAGTTTCCCCTCATTAACTCCGTTGCCCTCTGATTAAAGTGTGATGTCCCCTGTGCACCCCTGTGTCTTGGCAGCTGCTGTCCCCAGTCTCCCTCCCTTTTCCCCGCTGCCCCAGGCTGGCAGAGAGGAGTGGCCAAAAGCCAATCTTTGGCAGGAGCTTTGAAGAAATCTCACCCTCACCCTGTGCCCCTACCTCATGCTGGTGGTGTGACCACAGTGGGACAGAGGCTGAGAATCAGAGTGTGGGTGTGTGTGACAGGAGCCCCAAGGCTCAACAGAGGACTTTGTGTCCCTGTAGCCCCCCGAGAGACAGAGAGGCTGCTGCAGAGGCTCTGGGACAAGTGTAGAGGGTGTGGGACAGGTGACAGTCTCTAAACCCTCTGGATGCCCTTAGCCTGACTCAGAGCTGGGCAATTGCAGCTGTAACAGGTATGTGGCCTGAAAAGGACTGAACTGGACACAAGGAGAAGCTGTGGAGGATGCTGCCACTTGCAGGCAGTAGGGATGAAACCTCATGACAAACATTTTCACCCTATGCTTGTCACCCCTGCCTGTCCCTGCTGCCACAGTGGGCAGGGATGAGGCACCACTGGTGCCAGGGGAAGTGGGACCAGGTGGGGAGCCCCAGGTGTGACACAGCTGTGTCTGGGGCCATGAATTCAGAGCTGGAAGGCTGCTTAGGAGGGCTCTGTCTGTCTTCATGTCTGTCTTCCCTGCATGAACTGTGGGACAGCTGAAGCTGTGTGTGACCATCAGCTGAGCCATGGTACAGTTTTGCTGCTGCTTTGGGGACTGTTCTAAACTTGCTTGTGTTCTCTTTTGAGCCAGCCACTCTAATTCCTTTGGCAAAGCTTTCATCCAGCTTGGAGCCTTTGTCAAGTTAGATTCCCAGAAGGATAAGTGAATTGGGAATAGAAGCTTTTTGTTCTTTTTCCAAATTGCTCAGATTTGATTAAGTTCTTTGTCATGACCATAGTTAGGTCACCAGGGGGATTCCAGTTGCATGTCTTGCTGAGGAGGAATGGGAGGGGGCTCTGAGACCTGCCAGAAGTTAATGCATCTCTCCATCTCTGTGCACTTTTCTGCCTTCCTAAAGAATTGAACTGTAAGTACTGCTCAAATTCAATTTAACACAACAAAGTCAATTAGCAGGAGAAAAAAAAACCAATAACTGTATTGCTGTAATGCCACAAATGAGGTATAACTATTGCATTACTCTTCCCATTGCAGTTTTTCTTGTCTCTTGGTCAGTTCTCTGACCACAGGAGTTTATTTATTTGTGCAGCATTTCTCCTAGGTCATCACACACACTCCACAATTAGTGCCCCTGAGTCAGGTTTCTTGTCAGAAACCCCCAGTGACTGCTGTCTAGAAATGGGGCAGCTCCCTCCTCACCTGCAGTGGTTCCTGGGTGACTCCATGAGCTGTGACATTGTTCCTTTAGCTGGGGTTATGAATGGGGGCATTGTGGTGGGTGAGAGGATCTGAAATGCTTTGCTGTTTCTGTAGGTGGTTTAAAACAGCTACAGAAAAGAGTTCTGTGCATGTTTACCATAGGGGATTTCAGGTGTAATTGCAGCTTTGTTTACAAGGTGGTGATAGCTTCAGGCATCTGGAAATCTGGTCTGAATTGAGGCAACAACAAGAGGAGTCTGGGTTTGAGAGCCTCACCTGGGCCAAGATCCCCCAAGGGAAGGGACCTTACCAGGTCAGAGCTCTTTGAAAATACTCTACAAGCATTCTCTTTAGTTCTTCTGAGAGTGAATAATCCCCAAAACAACAATCCTCACAGAGCTGGCCATAATCACATCAGACCTGTGCCAGCCCTCACTGAATCTGGCACATTTTCACCAGTAACTGATGTGGAGCAAATGGGATCTGCAGTGGTGAGTTGAGCTGCAGTTGGAGTAAACTCATGTTATACACACAGTCCAGACAGGTAGGCACAGGGGTGAGATGTCATCCTCTCTGAAACTCACTGGGCAAAATAATTGTTCCTGACACTGCTGTGTGTGGGGAGTGTTCATCTTGTCACTCATTTCTTGTCCAGGTAGGGAGGGAAAAGGTGTTAAAGCTTCTGACCCTGTACTGCTAGAAAAAAGAGAATTGGTGCTATTATTCTCACTATCCAAAAATCTCCCTGTGTAACAAGAATGGTCCTGTGCAAGATCAGCTCCTTCCTGTGCCTGGCAGCTCATCCTTTGGGGTAGGAAGCTCCGTTCTGAGCAATGGCAGAATCAAGAGGTAAGTGACATTTCTAGCCTGTGGAAGCCAAGACAGAAGTGTTTGTTCCCTCGTGGTAACTGCAGTGCTGGAGTAGGTGTGTGGAGGGAGCTGTGCTGCCAGAGAAGCAGCTATGTGTCCTGGGAGCACAGGCAGCCTCCAGGTGAGCTGTTCCCATCCCAGTATGACATCTTGCACCCTGACTGGGAACACAGAGCCCTGAGGGGCCTCCAGCACTGCCTTTATCTTTTGGAATTAACCCCTGTTAATGTGTACTTTTGCATGTTGATCATAGAGATGTGCAGAGACTTTGAAAACAAGTTTGTTCATGGGTTTTAACACCTCATCCAGCCACAGGCAAGAACTGTGTCTGTAGGCTCACAGCTGTGAGGAGAAACACGAGGTTGGGGTTGTTGTGGTTTGGAGTTACAGCATGTTAATCACTGTGTGCAGAGCCCTGCTGCTGACATTTCCACGGGTACACACAGCTGGGGGCATTGCTTGAGACAGGGCAAAGGGATGGGAGGGAAGCAGAGCCCATCACACAGCCCAGTTTCCTGCAGGGGTTGGTGTGGGCGTCACCTTTCAGCTGGGCTGTTCCAGGGCCACAGAGAACAGGCAGACCAAGCTGATGTTTTATTTAGTGGAAACTATAAAAGACAACTCCCCTCCTCCCAAAAGCCAGGCAGTCATCTCACAGCTTGTGAGATAAAAGGAAGGCACTGCTCAGGGGCAGGGAAGAGCCCTAGCATTAAATGAGAACCCTCCCTGTGGTAGCATGAGTAAATACCATGTTCCAAGCATGCTGCTGCCTGACCCCTGAGTATGTGGGGACCTCACAAACCTCATGTGGCCTAAACCAGCCCCAAGTCCTGCTCCTGCAGCATCCCAGGCCTGGGCAGGGCCCTCTCTCACCACAGCATCCACAGCCTGACGTAGCTTTGACCTGACTCAAGGGAATTCTGTGGCTTTCACTGCTGGTTCAACTCTTGTCTGTTCACACAGGTTATTTGCGCTAAGTCTCCATTACTAGATGTTACTGGAACACTTAAGGGCCTCCTTTGTGGTTTCAAGAGCTGCATGGCTTTCTCCCTGCACACACAGAGCTCACTCTGCCAAATTTAACATTTGAGAAAGCATGAACAGCTGCTCAGCACATCAGTCCTGCATGGTTAGTGGAGGAATTCCTCTTCTACAGAATAAGACAACAAAGAAGGGGAGAAGGCCAGAAATGTTCTTCTTGCACTGACGAGTTGTGCAGTTGCACAGCTTTGTCTCCTTGCTCCTGTCCCATCTCTGTCTCACAGTTATTTATCCTGTCATTACATGAGGCACCTGCTCAATATTTAGCCTGTGCCAGTCCATATGTGCCAGTCCCCCTCCTGTTCTGTGACAGGATGGCAGGTGTGGTGCTGTTACCCATCCCATACTGGCTGGAATATACCCTCAAACTAGGGTAACAATCACCTAAAAATGCCTATTGTTTAAAACAAAACCTCCACTAATTTTAAAAGGATTTATGAAGCTGGTTTTTAAAAGTGCAAGAGTGGTTTATTCTGACCTTTGTGAAACTACTTTGCTATGAAGATGAAGCAATTTGTAAGAAATAATGTGGTTGTAGTGGTGGAGGGGAATTATGAAAGGCATTTTATTTTGTCTAATCCAGTAAGACAGAATAAATTTTAAAAACCCCCACCAGCATGTGCTGGTTGGTGAGAGCTCAAGGCAATGGTGATTGTAGACAAGAAGTGATTTCCCACATTTCATAGGAACTGTGACAGAGTCTGTAATGGCTTAACCAGGAAAAAGCACAGATCCCAGACCCCTGGATTACAAGGTAAGGCCTTAAGGAAAACTGGAGGTTTGATTCAAGCTTCTCACTGCTGAATGAAAGCCTTGGTTCCATCTGAGATCTCTTGCAAAGGCAGCAGTGGGGGCTGCCCATTCCTCGACAGCAGCAGCTCCTGTTCAGCTCCCATGGGCTGAGCCAGATCAGCTCTAATGAGAGAACAATGGCATGAGCTGGATGAAAGGCTCGATCTGTCAAACTTCATCATGGCTATTTTAAAAATAAACTCTGAGGCATTTGGTTCTCCATGAAGTTTGTAGCTGCCTGCCAACTGGAACCCTGGGCTGCAGGACTGTGACCAAGTCCCTCCTCTCCCCAGCTTTCTGTCTTTACATAATCTTAAACGTGAGGGGTAGCACATACTGCTTAGAGAGGACATAAAAAACTGACTGAAAATACCAAGTGTCTTTGTCCTCTGAGAAGCACAGTGACACTTTTGCCCTGTTGTTCTGGCTGTTCTGTTTGCTGGGACCTGCTGGTTCTGCAGGTGCTGCTTCCAAGGCAGTAATTCTCCATAAATCCTTTTTGGGTGGCTGTAAGGGAGGACAGGAGCAGCTCAGCTGAGGGCAGGATCCTCCTGTGCTTATCCTCCCAGCACTCACCTCCCCACCCTCACTGTGCAGGAGTGAATCCATCTCAGCATTCTTCAGTCTCAGGGGTTTGATCAGGAATTTGGGCTGTATTAAGGGGCTGAAACAGGCTGGCTACAGCAACCCTCAGCCTCCCTTGTTGGGAACTCTGCCATTCAGAAGGGGCTGGCAGGGTAGCCTTGCCTTGGGATGGCCCTGCACAGCTTGGCTGATGGGATAGAAAATATTAACAGCATTGGGTGCCTGCAAGCACATTAACTCCAGATCCACAAGCTCTTGGCAGTGCATGAATTCAGTGCTGTTCACCTGTAAAGAAAGATGCAGATTTATTTTAAGTTCTGGATATGTGACTTCTGTCTGGCCACTGCTCCTGTCACTTTGTAATCAGGGGGAGGGCAGGGACAGGCTGCATGCCTCAGCAATATGCTGCTGATCCTGAGGGCAAACACTTATCCAGGAGCTCCTGATAACTACTCCTATAAATATGATTACCTCCTTCTACTACACTGAATGTGGGCAATTGCTTCCTCTTTGCAGGAAACAGCAGGCAGGAGGGACAGCAGGAGGCCAGGTTATTTCAGACAAATTCAAGACCTCAAAATGGGTGGATGGCAAGCTGACAGCCTGGGTCTTTACCCTTCTAAGTGTGCTTTCTTAAAAGGCATGTGTTTTATGAAACTGGGGAAAAGCTTAAAAAAAAAAAAGAAATACAGCTTGTCTTGAATCATTACAAGTCAAACTGGTTCTATTTTTAGAGCTATGTGACTATACTAAAAAGTTTTCTCAGTGTTCAGAGGGAGGCTGAGGAAACTGGGCAGATTTCTAGGTGCTCTCAGACTCTCCCATCATGAGAGAATTTCTCCTGGCTCAGGATGCAGGCAACTATCTGTGGCCAAGAATTTGGAACCCTCCCTACCCTGCCAAAGGGATGTCCCTCTCCCCAGTCCCATCCCTGAACTGCACTTTTGTTCCTTTTTGTTAGCACCAGCAAGGTTGCAGCAAAGGCAGGACAAGAACACAAGTCTCAGGAGCTGCTGAAGTGCAATACTGACTGTAAATACACATGGCTTTATTCTTTATCATGTCCTGCCTTCAGGATTTGTGACCAAAGGCCATTTTGCTTCCTACCTGTGCTTTTTTTAGCAGATCAGCAGTAACAACAAACCAACCAGGAGTCTGCCTCTCCAGCTCCAAGGTGATGATCACCAAAACCAACGTGGAGCCCTTAAACTGCACGAGTTGGTGGCAGGCCATACAGTGCTGCAGCTGCTTGGTCAAGAGTGCAACGTGGAGGGAAGGATTCCTCTGAGGCAGTCTGGGTGGGAGATGGAGCCAGCTGGACATCACCATGGCATGGAACTGCAGAGAAGACAAAGTGTACATATATATATACACACATATATATATATGAAAAGAAAAGCAGAGGTTAGTGAAGTTTATATGTTTTCATGTCATCACCCTGAAGTACAGATGAATTTCATCTCATATCAGGAAACCTGAAGGCTTCCCCCACGTTTTCTTTTTCTGTGTTTTGTGTTCGTACTTGCCAACCATTGAACTGTTTTTCTGAGGTGATAATGAATGTACAAGGTCTATGTTTCCTAACAATTTCTGAGGTTTCTACATTATCCAGATTGCTGTCCAGGAGATTCAGTTCAGGACAGCAGCTCCAAATCCAGTAAAACCAGTAATACTGAACTCTGAACTCACCAAGGAAACAAGCACCTACGAAAGGCAGTTTTCACAATCAGCAGCCTAAAATGGCTTAATATTTGCACATAATTTTAAAATAGGGATCCAGGATATGTTCATATCACATGAATTTTGCCTTACTAGTACATGATCGTTTCTTGAAGACAATTCATTGTTTCTATTAAATGTTTAGTAACTGCAATGTGAACTAAGTGCCAGACCAGGGTAGTCTCATTGCATAAATGAATAATTAGTGGGATGAAAAGGAAAATGGTTAAAGAAAAAACCTATGTGGGAAATGTAGCAAAACTCTGACAGCTTTGTATGTACAGTATTAAGAGAAGGGAAATAGTTAGAAATATTTTTGCAGCTTGTATTTAAAAAAAATAAAGAAGGCATATAGTGCATTATGAGAATCTTTTTAATGTCCTTTCAGTTCTCCTATAAAGACAAGAGTAAATTTTTTTGAGCAAAATAGAAGGTTTTAAATAGTAGAAAATTTTAAAAAGTTTTAAAAATATTATTACTGTAATATTCTTTAAAAGGCTTGAAGATAGGTAGGAATAGGTAGTTTGCCAAGAATCTTGGGAAGGATGTGTGGGTGGGTGTGTGTGTGTGCATCTGTGTTTTTTAGTCTTATTTGATAAGGAGTTATTTCTTTAAAGAAAAAACATTGCAAAACATAGTGCTTACAATGTTTAAGAAATCAATTGGTGTTTCTGTGTAAAGATCCCACTGAAGCTTATCCAGTATAATTCTTTCCATTCTCAAGATCTCGGCTGGAGAGTGTTTACATCTGCTCTGCACTGCTAGCGTCTGCACTGATGGTATTACCTGTAAAAAAATTTTTAAAAATTAAAAAAAAATAAAGAAACCAACGTCCTATACACTGCTCTGTGTGCTTCTCTGTATTGTGAAGGGATCTGATAAGTTTACACAAGTTTATGTTAAGCAGAATGCTCATTCAGGCATCCTAGGTACCGCCCATCCTAAATGAAGGGTGGTCCCTGCTCAGCCCAGGGCAGCTGCTGCTGACCCAGCCCACAGCAAGAGTGATGCCAGGAGCCCCCCAGTGTGGCATCAGTGATGCACCTTCCCTGCTACCACTGGTTTTGCTCTGAGGAGGGTTCCTACCAACCTGTTTTACAAGGCCTGCTATGGTTGTCTTGTTTCCTGTGGTCATTGACACAGCTTATTCTATGTAGCTGAGAGGAAAAGAACAATAACCTCAGTGTAACACCACCTAAGAAAGGCTGTGAAGAACATTTCACTACCACAGTGGCTGCTTGAAGAGATGTGTATGTCTGACTGCAGCTCCTGCCTTTCCTCTTCTTTTGCAAAACAGAAGGAAGAAAAGAGGAGGAATGTAATCTGAAATGCTTTTAGCTAATTCTTGTAAATGCCTGCAGAAGTCTATTTGCCATGAGAGCTATCCTGTGTAATTTCTCACTGGCTGCTGACTTTATTTTCTCATCTTGAGGTGCAGACATGAGTCAGTTCCTCACTGGGTTCAGAAACCAGTTTTGGCTCCAAGCAAACTCATCTATTGAAAGCTTCCTCTGAAGAGCCTCTGCTCTGTCACACCTGCTGTGCCCTCCCAGGAGGAATGGGAATTACAGCCCTCTGATGGGCACCTTGACTGTCCCCTCAGACTGAGCTCTACTGTGAGCCAAGGATTCTGAAAAGAGGAGAGAGGTTTGGGGACAGGACAGAAACACATCCATGACCTAAACAAAAACAAGTCATCCATAAAGGTCACAATTCTTTGGAGCAACAATGAAACAGGACTGAAAATGCTACTCTCACCTCTTTAGGACTACTTAGGGTAAACAAATTAGCACTCCTTCATTATGTCCAAGTTGTTGAAAGATCTGGAAACATGAGCAACTTTTAGTGTGTTTAAAATGAAACACACAGACCTCATCTTCATTGGTTTCTGCTGCAAGGACAAGGCAGGAAATTGCAATGCACTGCCGATATTTTAATTGGGCCTGAAGGGAGAAGAAGAAAACACTGAGTAAAGAAGATAAGAGTCTTGGGGGAAATAATTGTCATTCTATTATACATACACAAGTTTCAAACTTTCATTTAAGTTGCAGTTGCTTCTGAATTAGTTTAGCTACAGAAGCTGGAAATAGAAGAAGGAAATTCAAAGTGAAGCAGAATAAATCCTCTTATAGGTGCCATTTTTATTCATGTCTCTCACAACTTTTAGACTCTGCAATGTCACAGTATTTACACTGCAATGTTGCTCCTCACTTTCAGATACTGGTTCAGGTTGGACTTCTTCAGGAAGCATTTCTTCATGGAAAGGGTTATTAAATATTGGAACAGGCTGTCCAGGGAGGTGGGAGAGTCAGCATCCCTGGGGGTGTTCAAGAAACTAGATGTGGCACTTAGTACTATGGTTTAGTTGATAGGGTGGTGATCACTCAAATGTTAGACTTGATCTTAGAGGCCTTTTCCAACCTAAATGATTCTGTGATTTTATATGCCAGTATCAACCTAAATAGAATGGGGAGCTGCAAGGCTCAGCTCAATTGCTGTAGCTTCAGTGGCAGAAAAGCTCAGCCCCACAGTTTAATTAAAAATAGTAGTCTAAAAACCAGAATATTAAAAGTGATAATGCAAATAATTTCTGTTTAGCAGAGAAAACCAGATGAGTTCTTTGTACTTACCACAGCAGTTGGACTGAGTTCACACAAACAATTCTAATGAGGTCAGTGGAACCTCATCAAATACTCAAGTTCATACATGTGTGTATATATATATTTGCTTAATGGCCTTCCCCAGCAACGACCCTGACTGCTCCCTAAATCTGCTGCTGAACATCATCCCTGCTTTGTGTATAAACTGATTACATGCTCCTTACATTCCCAGTCAGTAATCTAGCCAGGGAAAAGCTGACAGAGATCTTTACTGATGCCAACAGCCTGTTGAAGATGCTGGTGGCTAAGGAAACGTTTATGGGTAAAACTGGAACTGGGAGCTGATTTCTGGAATCCAGAGAACTGCTTTTTGTAACCTGGCAGAGAGAGATCTGTGCCCTGAGGGGAAGGAAAAGTTAGAAGAAAAATATAGTTAGTTCTTTGATGATTTTGTTAACATATCTCCAAAGGAAGACTCAAATCCTTTTAAGTGCTCTAATTAGCATTTTAGATGGCTGGAGGCTTGAAATTAAGGAAGTTGTCAGCTGTATCCACAGAGGGAGGGCAAGGGCACGTTTTGGAGCAGTTTAAGCACATGTTCCACTCACCAGCCTCAACAGAAAACTGGAGTCAGGAGTAGGTTTTGATTTACTCTGCAAGAGTTTTAACAGCCCTTGGATTTGCTGGGTGTTGGGACCAGAGCCAGGTTTGTGACTCCCCAAAATGTACTGAGTTTTTCCTTTCTTATATCTTATTCGAAGCTGCATTGAGGTGAAAGGGAGGACCATGGCTGCTGTGAGAACAGCACCCAGGAGCCATGGAACACACCTGAGCATTGTTATAGAAGTAAAAAGGCCAAGCAGCTACACAGAACAGACAAGATTAAACACCAACTTGTTTAATATTACTCATCCCATTATCTGTTTCACTATTTTGCTTAATTTGGTAGTAAAGGTACTAGGTAAAAAGTAGCATTTCCAGACTATTGCAAAGAGACAAAGCTGTTAAGGCACTTCTGTGCATTCTTCCATGGTTCTGCTGCACTTACAGAAGCAGCCAAGCAAAGCTGTTTTGCATTGTTCACAGAGCCCATGGAGTCTTGCAGCTTCCTAAGGCAGCTTGGAATGGGGCTGGGTTTCTGTTAGGCCTCAGTGAATTCCATCTTCTCCCACCATAACAGATGGAATTCACAGACAGTGCTGAACACAATTAATATGTCAAATGTATGGTTTTACCATCAATTGGCTGCTCTTACCTGCTCTGCCACATTATCCCAAACTATTTCACAATTCCCAAAACTACTTTTCTAAATGAGTCAGAGCAAAATTCAAAGCCCCTGCTCTATACAAGGCATCAATAAAATATAAAATGGGATAAATACAGACCCTCCTGCCCCTCCATTCCTTAAGCCTAGCCCACGAGGGATGACTTTTGCATTCAGGTGAATCAGATGGCATGATCAGCACTGCATCTTTGCAGGGTCCTTTAGGGAATTCTAAAGAGGACAGGGGAGGATACCTTCACAGTGAGATTCTGAAAAACTGGCACTTTTCAAATGCTGGCCTCTCTTTTTTCCAGAAAAAAAGGCAAGTTGTGACCTCTCTATATGTCCAGGACATTTCATGGCAGCTGTTTGAACCAGTTTCCTGATGGGAGCCACTGACAAAACCAAACAAAATTAGCAAACAACATCCCAGCTCTTTGTGCTAAGGATTATTTCCTCTTTTGATGCCTTTCCAGTGCTGAGAACTGAGGAGCAGCCACAGGACTTGTTTGTTTGCAGACAGAGCAATCCTGATATGCATATTTCCCCTGGAAGTTCCTGATGAAAGAAAACATGTCAGATGGCTGAACAACAACACAGCCCAACTTCTTCACTGCTGGGCTGTGCAATGGCTAGAGAAACCTTGGGTCAAGCAGTCCAGGCTACTCCATTTATCCTGTTTCACACATTTGGCTCTCCATTTGCTGAGCTATTACTCTGCAACCTGTTAACAGCTGATTTCAGGTTTCTGGCAAATAGAGGTTTATAATTTCCATACAAAGGGTCAAAGATGACTGTTCTTAGGAAGTTTATGAATTCCCAATTAAGTTTCCCTCAGAGCAGTTTAATATTTGGAGATACCACTTTGGGAATTCCCCTTTCCAGACTAAGGGGAATATTTACAGGAAATAAACATCTCTGAATCATGTCAGTACCAAGTGAATGAGAACATCCAGCCTGAAACTTTTTCAAGGCTTACATTTTGGTGTTTCTTTAACAACAGAAACGAGATGTTACTAGATATAAAATTCTTGCTTTTCTTTCCAAGGAGTGGTGAATGTGGGCTTCCTCACAGTTTTTTTTCTGGAAGCTCACACCATTATCTCTGCAGTTCCATTAAAAAACCCAAAGTGACATGAATCCTCCGGAAACTGCTCTACATTTCTAAAGCTGGAGCTCTGTGAGGTTTCCCTGAAAGCAGGAACCACCTATAACTAACTTCAGCTGCCACTGGATGTCAGTCAGAGCATCCAAAGCCGGACCCCTTCACAGAGGGAGAGCTGGCAATGATTTATCTGACGGCTTTGATGCACGGAGAACTTTACTCTCGTGTAGCTGGGGGGAAATAATAATAATTACAATCTCGCCCTCTGGCTAGTCCTCTCGCCTTTCGACTGTCCTTGAGAACGGCACCGAGCAGCTCCCGCACGGCCAGCGCTCAGAGAACCCCTCCAGCCCTGCAGAGCGC